GTAGGCCATATAGTCCCTGTTGCAATTTCTCAATTCTACTGTTATAACACAAAAGCAGCTATGTACAATATATGAATGCTTGTCTTCCAATACAAATTCATTTGCAAAATCAGGAAACTGGTTTGGAAATGGATTAAGATCTAGTTTTCTGACTAGATCAGGGTGTTTAATCTTTTCCATATATATTTTGAATTTGGTTTCCTAATATTCTGTTGACCATTTTTATATCTCTTTATGAAGGATGCTGATCTATAACTTTCTTTTCTTGTGATACCTTTTTTTCTGGCTTTGTTACCAGGGTAGTACTGGCCTCTTAAAATGACTTGGGAAGTATTCTCTGTTTTCTTAAAGAGTTTGTAGAGTTTTGATCTTATTTATTCTTTAAATATTTGATATATGTCACCAGTGAAACCATCTGGGTCTGGTGTTTTCTTTTGGGGAAGATTTTTAATTATTAATTAGATTTGCTTATTTGTTATATAGGCCTATTCAGAATTTCTATTTTTCCTTGACTTAGTTTTGTAATTTTTGTGTTTCTATGAAATGAGCCATTTTGTCTGAGTTGTCTAACTTGGGCATAAAGTTGTTTGTAATATAATCCTTTCAATTGTGTAGAGTCTGTAGTGGTGTCCCCTCCTTCATCATAGATTTTAATAATTTGTGTCTGATCTTTTTTTATTGGTCAGTCTAGTTAAAGGTTTATCAATTTTGTTGATCTTTACAAAGAACCTATTTTTGGTTTCATTAATTTTCTCCACTGTTTTTGTTTTCTGTCATTGATTATTTCCTTTTTCCTGCTTGATTTTCATTTAATTTGTTCCTCTTTTTCTAGTTTAAGGTAAAAGTTTCCATTATTAGTTGGAGACCTTCTTTTCTTATATAAATGTTTAAAGCTATAAATTTTTGATATATTTTCATTCATTTCATTTTCTAATGTCCTTCGTGATATTTTTCATTGACCCATTATTTATAAGCATATTGCTTAATTTTTATATACATGGGGATTTCCCATATTTCTTCCTATTCATTTATGATTTAATTCCATTGAAGTGGGAGATACATTGAATGACTCTAACAGGGTTTCTGAGACTTTCATGCGGGCTATCCTGAGTGTTCTATGAGTGCTTGAAAAAAACTTACTGTGCTCTTATTAAGTAGAGTTTTATGAATGTCAGTTAGGTCAAGATGATTGATAGACTCAAGTTTTCTGTATCTTTGCTGATTTTCTGTCTAGTTGTTCTGTATTCCTACTACTTTGCTACATCCTTGTCTGAGCTTGGTGTGTTCTTTTTATTATCACTATCCTAGAGAGAACATACATAGTTGACCCTTGTGACTTCCCATGCAGTTCTTTAATGACTGCCCATGTTCATAGCAGCATTATTCATAATAGCAAACAACAAACTTTTTTATATGCTTTTGTGCCTGAAGATCATATAGTTTTTCATTTTTAGTCTATTAATATGGTATAATACACTGTTTAAATTTTGAGTAACTGACTAGACTTTCATTCCTGGGATAAATCCTATTTGGTTATGATATAGTATCCTTTTTACATAGAGCTGAATGTATCATACTAAAATTTTGGGTCTAAATTCAGGAGGGATATATTCTATAGCTTTGGTGTTTTGATAATTTGTTACTCTTTCTTCCTTAAATGTCTGGTAAAATTCAGCAGCAAAGTCATCTTGGTTTGGAGCATGTTTTGTAGAAAGATTTTCAAGTACAGTCTCATCAAATGTTTACTGATACTTGTTTACTCTTGAGTGAGCTTTGTTGGTTTACATCTTAGAAGGAATTTAACTGTTTCATCTAAATGTTGAATTTATTGGTATAAAGTTATTCATAATATTCCCATAATATCCTTCTAATGGCTACAGTACCTCTAGTGCTATTCCCTTTCATTCCTAATATTGGTATTTCATATATTCTTGCTTTTTTTTTTTATCAGTCTGGCTAAAAGATTTTCAGTTTTCCTGGTTTTCATAGAACCAATTTGGTATTGATTTTGTTGTTGTTTATGCATATTCTTAATTATCTGTTTCTACTCTTTATCCTTTCCATTTTTCTTGTGTTTGGTTGGCTTACCAGTGTAAGGTAGAAGTATATATAGTGACCTTTCTTTTCTAATAAAAGCTTTTACTGTTGTAAACTTTCAAAGCACTGTGTTCAGTGCATCCCATACATTTAGATATGAGTTGATGCCTTCTTGAATCCGTAACGTACTAAATGTCCAATTTCAAACATTTGGGTTTTTCTACAAATATGTTTGTTACTTCTATTTTAATTTCATTTTTGTCAGAGAGTATTCATTGTATGAATCCTCCTAAATGTATTCAGATTTATGTTCTAGATTAATGTTCTATGTATACTTGAAAAGAATGCAGTTCTTGGGTAGAGTATTTCAGAAATGCCAGTCAAATTTCAGTCTTGTTTATTCTGAGACAAAGGTGTTTATAATGGTAGATTTGTCTACTATATCTCCTGACATTGCCGAATATCCTGTTGGAGGCTAAATCTCCCCCTTCCTTTTAAGAACCACTGATCTATAATAGCCTTTTTCTGGGACTAATTTAGCCTTCCAAGATGTGGCCCCTCAGTCTCTACTCTCTTCATATTTAATGAGATCTTTCCTCTCTGGCCATGAGAAAAGAAAATGATTCGCAGCTCTAGGTGAGCTCTGTGTACTATTTTTCTTTTCTCAGAAGTTGTTCTTGTGTGGCCTCAAGGGATTTCACCTTAAGTATGCACAAATATTTATTCAGCTGAAGAGTGTACAGATTTCTGGAGACTTTTGTGTACCTCCTTCCTTTCCAGTAGTCTGACCCATACATCCTAGCTGCTTTAGCCTCCCCAAACTTCAGCCTCTTTCTCCTCAACACAGCAAGAGTGCTAGACTCTGGGTTCCCTTTCCCTGCACTGCTGTATGATAATTACTTTCAAGCAAAAGGCTTAGAATTAAGATTTCTTGCTCCTGGGCTAGGCATGGCTTACCTTGTTTCTCTTTTCCTGGGGATCATAATCGTGCGTTGCTTGTTGTCTAGTACCTGAAATTAGTTGTCCAGTTTTCCGGTAGGAGGGGAATTCCAGGCTCTACTTACTTCCTCCTGCCAAAAGAGGATGTAATGTTAGTGATTTCAATATGAAAAAGAAAATTGAAAGGGATGGAATTCTTTTATATACATAGTGAATTGGGCTTCACCATAGTTATTTTTAGAATTAGGACTAACCAGCAGGGAAAACAACTGTAAATAAGCAATCACTGTTTTACAATTCTGCAATAATTAGATTTGTAATGTATAAAATTAACCCACTGGTACCATAGAATGCCCTTATCATTCCTGATTAAGTAGTCTCCACTTTCATATTAATACTGACATCTTAGAAGTGCCAAGTAATGCTTTATGGAATCAAACATTTTCATACATATTAATTGGTCTAAGTCTAATCATAATCAAATACAAAAGAGCAGGAAAGATGTTCAAGGAGGTTATACTCAAGTCCACATGGCAAGTAAGAAGTAAGACTTCTCAAAGCTCCTAAAATAGGTTTTCCTCTATACCAGCATCTTCTAAACATGTCAACAGCAGTGAAGTTTCAGTTCGGGAAACTTCAGTTTGAGAAACCATGCTTTCACCCTCTCTAGAGAAGGCATGGTAATATCTCCAAGTCCTGAAATTCAGAAGTCTGCCTTATATGTATTAAACATTTAACTCTTCTCAGACTTTGACCACTGAATCCTTTCTCCCTCTAACCATAGTTACCAGGAGCACACTGCGAAAAATGTAGCACTCTACAAAAGTCAGAATCTCCACAAGATTAAGTGAAACCATGAGTAATCCTCTATTCTTTATCCTCATTAGTACCAATTTTTGAAGAGTAATGTACCCCAAAAAACTTTTTATATTAGTTTCACTAATCAGAATCCATGTACATAAGGAAGGACAGATATTTGTTCCCTATTAAGATCTATAAGCCACATTAAAAAACACACTTCTTTTTAGGTTAGAATCATATCAACTCAATATGTGAACACATTAAAAAAATGTATTGCATGCTGATTTTAAAGTTATAATTAGCTGGTGATAGCACAAATAGGATAAGATGTAATTGCTGGAATAAACATTGTTGTTGAAGCCATTTATCTCAATACTAGAATTAAACTCAAGTGCAGAATGACAGTCAAAGTTAACTTATATAATCGCTGTATTTCAACTAGCTTTGTGAACTAGGGAGGAAGGTATCATTCCCAGTTCCATTTTATAGATAACTAATTTACTCAACATTAAGTCCTCCAATTCTTTATTTTCCTGTATTTTCTCTTGGCTATAGTTTAATCCTGAGAAAATGCTTATATTTTACAGTACATTAAGCGTACATGACACTTTGGGAGGCTGAGGCGGGTGGATCACGAGGTCAAGAGATCGAGACCATCCTGGTCAACATGGTGAAACCCCGTCTCTACTAAAAATACAGAAAGTTAGCTGGGCATGGTGGCGTGTGCCTGTAGTCCCAGCTACTCAGGAGGCTGAGGGAGGAGAATTGCCTGAACCCAGGAGGCAGAGGCTGTGGTGAGCCGAGATTGCGCCATTGCACTCCAGCCTGGGTAAAAAGAATGAAACGAAACTCTGTCTCAAAAAAAAAAAAAAAAGAGTACATGACAATGTTAAGTCTAAGTGCCCATGTTGCATGTATGAAAAGTTATAGCAAGAAAATTGTTTGGCTGGGAACAGTGGCTCATACTTGTAATCCTAGCATTTTGGGAGGCCAAGGCAAGAGGATTGCTTGAGCCCAGGAGTTTGAGACCAGCCTGGGGAATATAGGGAGATCCTGTCTTTACATGAAAAATTAGCCAGGCAGGAGGTCGTGGCTGCAGTGGGCTATGATAGTGCCACTGCACACCAGCCTGGGTGACACATTGAGCACCTAATCTATCTCAAAAAAAAAAGAAAAGAAAAGAAAAAGAAAATTCTTTAATTGACTTCATCGTAACCTTTTAGTTCCTAAGGATGGTTTGAAGAGCCAAGAGCTATTTGATGAAATTAGAATGACCTACATCAAAGAGCTAGGAAAAGCCATTGTGAAGAGGGAAGGAAACTCCAGCCAGAACTGGCAGCGGTTTTATCAACTGACAAAACTCTTGGATTCTATGCATGAAGTAAGTGTCAAACATAAAGCCAAATATAAGAATTTTCTGGGACAAAGTTTGTTTTGATTAGTGAATATAATTATATACCAACAGCTTCTCCCTGCCCCCAGTTTGTGGATATTGGTGATAGTTTGAGTTCAACTTATGAACTTCAGTTTTGTAGACATTTTTCCTAAGTCCAATTATGAAATATCCTTTCATCTAGTCATGTGTATATAATATCATCATCTTTTTACAGAATTTAATTATACTTTTTAAAAAGTTTGATTAATTCATTAAATTAGAATAATGTACCTTTCATATGTAGTACCATAAATTATGGTACTACAGCGATTCATGAAATACTCAATTCCATATAATTCTACATACAATCAAAGAAATTTAAAATGTCTTTCATACATAAGTGCTTATTTTAGTTAATTAAACTTATTTTTCACCTGGGGAATTTCAGTGAGATTGGTAGTATTCTAGTCCAGATAATTTTTGTTAAATAGAGGGCAACAAACATGAGATGCTCCCACTAACCAGTTTTGAAGCCTAATCATTACTGCATCTTCTCTTGCAGGTGGTTGAAAATCTCCTTAACTATTGCTTCCAAACATTTTTGGATAAGACCATGAGTATTGAATTCCCAGAGATGTTAGCTGAAATCATCACCAATCAGCTACCAAAATATTCAAATGGAAATATCAAAAAACTTCTGTTTCATCAAAAGTGACTGCCTTAATAAGAATGGTTGCCTTAAAGAAAGTTGAATAGCTTTTATTGTACAAACTATCAAATTTGTCCTGTAGAGGTTTTGTTGTTTTATTTTTTATTGTTTTTGTCTGTTGTTTTGTTTTAAAGACGCACTACATGTGGTTTATAGAGGGCCAAGATTTGGCAACAGAAACAATTGAGTCATCACTTTTCTGTGATGGGAGAGTAGACAGTGAAATTCATTAGTGTATCCCAGAAATTAGAAACCTTAATATGTGGATGTAATCTCCACTGTCAAAGAAGGATGGCACCTAAACCACCAGTGCCCAAAGTCTGTGTGATGAACTTTCTGCTCATACCTTCTCACAGTTGGCTGGATGAAATTTTCTAGACTTTCTCTTGGTGTATTCCCCCCTGTAGAGTTAGGATAGCATTTTGATTTATGCATGGAAACCTGAAAAAAGTTTACAAGTGTATATCAGAAAAGGGAAGTTGTGCCTTTTATAGCTATTACTGTCTGGTTTTAACAATTTCCTTTATATTTAGTGAACTATGCTTGCTCATTTTTTTCTTACATAATTTTTTATTCAAGTTATTGTACAGCTGTTTAAGATGGGCAGCTAGTTCATAGCTTTCCTAAAGAAACTCTAAACATTAATCTTCTGTGTGAAAATGGGTTGGTGCTTCTAACCTGATGGCACTCAGCTATCAGAAGACCACAAAAATTGACTCAAATCTCCAGTATTCTTGTCAAAAAAAAAAAAAAAAGCTCATATTTTGTATATATCTGCTTCAGTGGAGAATTATATAGGTTGTGCGGATTAACCGTCCTAACTGTTATAGAGCACCTAGTCCAGTCACCTGCTGGGTAAACTGTGGATTATGGTTGCAAAAGACTAATTGAAAAAATAACTACCAAGAGGCCCTGTCTGTACCTAATTGCCCTATTTTTGCAGTGGCTACATGGCAAGAAAGTTGGTAAACTATTTGTCTTTCGGGACCTTTTGAAGTAGTTTGTGTAACTTCTTAAAAGTTGTGATTCCAGATAACCAGCTGTAACACAGCTGAGAGACCTTTAATCAGAGCAAGTCAGTCCTGTCACTAAACTTTACCCCAAAACTAAATCTCTAATATATCAAAAATGGCTAGACACCCATTTTCACATTCCCATCTGTCACCAATTGGTTAATCTTTCCTGATGGTACAGGAAAGCTCAGCTACTGATTTTTGTGATTGATTTAGAACTGTATGTCAGACATCCATGTTTATAAAACTACACATCCCTAATGTGTGCCATAGAGTTTAACATGAGTCCTGTGAATTTCTTCACTGTTGAAAATTATTTTAAACAAAATAGAAGCTGTAGTAGCCCTTTTTGTGTGCACCTTACCAACTTTCTGTAAACTCAAAACTTAACATATTTACTAAGCCACGAGAAATATGATTTCTATTCAAGGTGGCCAAATTATTTGTGTAATAGAAAACTGAAAATCTAATATTAAAAATATGGAACTTCTAATATATTTTTATATTTAGTTATAGTTTCAGATATATATCATATTGGTATTCACTAATCTGGGAAGGGAAGGGCTACTGCAGCTTTACATGCAATTTATTAAAATGATTGTAAAATAGCTTGTATAGTGTAAAATAAGAATGATTTTTAGATGAGATTGTTTTATCAAGACATGTTATATATTTTTTGTAGGGGTCAAAGAAATGCTGATGGATAACCTTTATGATTTATAGATTGTACATGCATTCATACAGGCAGCGATGGTCTCAGAAACCAAACAAACAGTTTGCTCTAGGGGAAGAGGGAGATGGAGGCTGGTCGTGTGTGCAGTGAAGGTTGCTGAGGCTCTGACCCACTGAGATTACAGAGGAAGTCATCCTCTGCCTCCCATTCTGACCACCCTTCTCATTCCAACAGTGAGTCTGTCAGCACAGGTTTAGTTTACTTGATCTCCCCTTGCGCTCAAGTGTTAAACAGGAGACAGAAAGGTGGTGCTTACATACTTAAAGGCACCAACTAATAGCGGGTTACTTTCACATGCAGCCCTCCTCCAACAGTTTAATGACAACAGAAGCTTCAGAAGTTTGGCAATAGTTTGCATAGAGGTACCAGAAGTATGTAAATAATGCAGAATCTCTAGGTTGCCAATACACTAATAATTCCTTTCGATCCTACAACAAGAGTTTATTTCCAAATAAAATGACAACATGTTTTTGTTTTCTTTGAATGCTTTTTGAATGTTATTTGTTATTTTCAGTATTTTGGAGAAATTATTTAATAAAAAACAATCATTTGCTTTTTGAATGCTCTCTAAAAGGGAATGTAATATTTTAATATGGTTTGTAACCCAGCTGGATAAATTTTTGGTGCCTAAGAAAACTGCTTGAATATTCTTATCAATGACAGTGTTAAGTTTCAAAAAGAGCTTCTAAAATATATTGTTTGTTTGTAGAATGTTACGTGGTTAAAACCAGAAAGCACATCTCACACATTAATCTGATTTTCATCCCAACATTCTTGGCGCTCAAAAAATAGAACTCAGTGAAAAAAAGATTATGTGCACTTTGTTGTCAATAGGAAGTCAACTGATACTCAACAACTATAGGAGGCTTTTCATTAAATGGAAAAAGAAACTGTGTCCTTTTAGAATACATGGGGGAGAAGAAAGTCATCTTAATTATGTTTAATCATGGACTTAAGTGTAAATAGATACGGTGGTGCTGTTTGAAAGCAGCTTTATGTCCCAAGTATGTGTTATCTGGCCATCCCAACCCAAACTATTGAAGTTTGTAGTAACCTCAGTAAGAGTTGGTTACTCACATCAAATCCTGGAGAGTATTTATTTTTAATTATTGGTGTAAAAAAAGTGACCTTCTCAGTATTTGTAGGCATTCTGTGGGACACTATACAAGCAGAACTGAGGCACTTAGGACATGACACTTTTGGGGTATATATACCAAAATGCCTAAAACTATGGGAGGGAAACTTGGCCACCCCAAAAGGAAAACTAACATGATTTGTGTCTATGAAGTGCTGGATAACTAGCATGGGACGAGATCTGGGCATGCCCATGAAGGAAAGCCGGGCTCCCTTCAGAATTCAGAGTCAGGGAGCAATTCCAGTTTCACCTAAGTCTCATCATTTTAGTTTCCTTTAAAAAACCCTAAAAACTGCATCACCACTGAATGAGACATTGATCTGTCAAGCTTCCAGAAACATGGCAGCCTTCAGTGAGATTCCAGTCTTGGCTGGTCACCCCCGACTGCAGCTGTAGGTGAATGTATTTTTTAATGTGCCTGGTTTCCGTGTCAGAAGGGAAATAAAAGTGTAAGGAGGACACTTTAAACCCTTTGGGCGGAGTTTCATAATTTCCCAGACTATTTTCAAGCAACCTGGTCCACCCAGGATTAGTGACCAGGTTTTCAGGAAAGGATTTGCTTCTCTCTAGAAAATGTCTGAAACAATTTTATTTTCTGATGAAAGGCTGTATGAAAATACCCTCCTCAAATAACTTGCTTAACTACATATAGATTCAAGTGTGTCAATATTCTATTTTGTATATTAAACAAATGCTATATAATGGGGACAAATCTATATTATACTGTGTATGGCATTATTAAGAAGCTTTTTCATTATTTTTTATCACAGTAATTTTAAAATGTGTAAAAATTAAAACCAGTGACTCCTGTTTAAAAATAAAAGTTGTAGTTTTTTATTCATGCTGAATAATCTGTAGTTTAAAAAAAAAAAAGTGTCTTTTTACCTACGCAGTGAAATGTCAGACTGTAAAACCTTGTGTGGAAATGTTTAACTTTTATTTTTTCATTTAAATTTGCTGTTCTGGTATTACCAAACCACACATTTGTACCGAATTGGCAGTAAATGTTAGTTAGCCATTTATAGCAATGCCAAATATGGAGAAACATCATAATAAAAAAATCTGCTTTTTCATTATGTGACTCCAACATGCTTTTTTAGAACTTGTGCAGTTCCAATTGTCCAATTTCTTTTCTCTTCTACTGAAACTAGAGTTACCCCCACTTCAGGAAACTTAAGATAATATGTTGGGCATTTAAATGTCGGTGTGCCAATGTCTACATGTCAATATAGCATAAATTCAGAATAAGCTTAACCCTGATGCCAAAGACCTGAAGATTATCCCATCCATGCCTCAAATTGTTGTGTGCCAATTACTGCAAAGGGTACTAAGGGAAGGAGAAACTCACTCCTGAGCTGTTTCAAGTGTATGTCTTTATCACAAAAGATGATATTTTATGTAAGCAAATGTTACCTAGTCAAAATTTTTAGCTTACTTTAAAATCAACTCTTCAAGAAAAGGGAATAAACATTTAATATAAATACCATAGCAATATTGCACATGGAATAGAAAGGCGAGGCAGGAGAGTGGCAAGTCAGCTATTCTATACAATCCATTCAGTATTTTCCAAAACATGATGTTCAGGCCATATCCAGGAACTGGATAACTTAAACTTATTTATGAGTACTTTTTTTCCCACAAGAGACTGCCATCACTAAGAAAAAAAAAGCACTGTGATTTAAAAACCAAATTTGCCTTATCCATCATCATGTGTACCAAGTATTTGCTACATGCCTACTACATTATAACTATTGAAAATACAACATGAATAAGAAAAATACTATTTCTACCGTCAGTCACTTAGAGTATGTGACTGGAAAAGTGTGTAACCTCCTTTCCCATTGTCTTCAGGTGTAATGCAGAGATACCAGATATGGCATCAGTATGTATCCACATTATGACTGTACCATTCACTTTAAGTACTAACCTTCCATTTTTGTAGAACACCTTCACATACATAATAATAAGCCTCACCAAATGAATGAATGAGTGAATGGACATGAACGTAATGAGGCAGATTATTCTCATTTTCATTTTATAAGGAAGTAAACTCTATTTTATAAGAAAGTAAACAGGCTCAGAATTTAAGCAACTGATGCAAAGTTCCTAGCTCCCATTTTATTGAAGTTAATGGAAAGCCTCTAATGAGGCTATCTATAAAATGTCAAAGAGCATGTCTCTGGCCTATTAGTCTCTCAGGCAACTGGTTATGTTTTTCTGTTTTAAATTAAACTAATGCTTTACTGAGCACTTAGTATGTGCCAGGCACAATGTTAATTCAATATATTATTTAATCTTAGTACCCCTCTAAAGTGCTACCATAAAGTAGTGCTATTATCCTCATTGCATTTTTATATCAGGAAACTGTGGAGTAACTTGCCTAAAGTCACAAAGCTAGCTCCAGAATTCATACTTTTAACCACTATTGAGAAATTATTAATATGAACTACCTAGAGCAAATGAACCCATATTGATCATTAAGTGTCCAGCCTTTTGAAATGTCCTCATTTAATCTAATCCTTTTTGCTACCATATCAATCTTGACTTAGAAATTTAACAATGATACATTAGTCCTCACTTATCTGGGGAGGATGTGTTCCGAGACCCCCAGTGGATGCCTGAAACACAGATAATACTGAACCACATGTTTTTTCCTGTATTACATACATATGATGAAGTTAATTTACAAGTTAGATGCAGCAAGAGATTAAACAATTACAATAATATAATAAAAGTTATGTGAATGTGGTCTCTCAAAAAAATTGTACTATACTGCGGGTAACTGAAACCATGGAAAGTGAAACCGCAGATAAGGGGGGACTGTGGTATTTCCTTCTCTTAAAAACGTGTCCTGTACCCTGTGGAGCTTGATGGTGGAAAACAGCAGTTGCCCACAGATTACAGAATGCCCTTTGGTTTGTCTAACAGGGAGCCTATCTCACTAATGCCCACAGGAAAATCAAACATTTCTTCAAGTGATATGGAGCATACAGGATACAGCCAAACCAAGGAAGAAGGTTGTTTATAAATGAACTATAATGCAAGTTAAAATTTGCTCCTAGTTTTACAGGGAAAGCACCAGACTTTGGGTGTAGAAAAAAAAGTTGAAAATACAGAGGCTTTTACACAAGGTGTTTTTTTTTTTAGAATTTCAACTAATCTATTTTAACTGAAAGTAAGTAATTCTTAACAGTATTGGTAACTTTATAGCACTTTCTTTCTGGTGAAAGAACCCCACCCTCCCTCTTATTTAGGCTTTCTATTTCCTACTTAAAATGAGGCAGTTCATTAGGGAAATATTTTTACTCCACTTGATTACAAACATGTAAGTCTCAGACCATATCAAACACTTAAAAATCTTTCTTCACTCTACCCATTTGAGTAAGAAACGGTTTATATTCTGTTCACCTTATGTACCCTCACCAGAAATATTCAAGAATAATAATGTGTATATAAGGTAAATAAGGCATACGTTTTTCTATTTTTGTTAAAGTTACATTGTCTTATAAAGTACTATATGAGTATATACATGGGGTTTTGCTAGAAATAAAAATCTAGGTTATCCAAAATCACTACAGTTGTTCACTAGGCTTGCAAAGAATCAAGATGAAAATGAAATTCTTTCAATACGGCAAGAAAGGGGACAGTGTACATAAAAACAAGCAAAGGCTCACAGAATATGTCACAAATACCTCTTAATCAGTTTCAAGACCTACTATGAGGCAAGCATACTAGATGAAGCAATTCAAAGACCACTAAGGCAATACTAAGTCTCCAAGGCGAGGTTCCTGCCCTCAAGGAATTCAGGATGAAAGGCAAATGACTAAGCAATTCCACTCCTATGTATCTACTCAGACAAAAACATTTGTCCACACGACTTGCATGCATATGTTCATAGCAGCATTATTCTTAATAGCCAAAAAGTGGAAACAATTCAAATATCCATCAACCAATGCACAGATAAACAAAATGTGGCATATCATATAATGGAGAACTAACCAGTCATTAAATGTGAGATACTGCCGGCTGGACATGGTGGTTCATGTCTGTAATCCCAGCACTTTGGAAGGCCAAGGCAGGCCGATCACTTGAGATCAGGAGACCAGCCTGGCCAACATGGTGAAATCCTGTTTCTGTGAAAAATACAAAAAACTAGCAGGCCATGGTGGTGCACGCCTGTAGTCCCAGCTACTCTGGAGGCTGAGGTGGGAGAATTGCTCGAACCCGGGAGGCAGAGCTTCCAGTGAGCAGAGATCATGTCATAGCACTCCAGCCTGGGCTGCAGAGTTAGACATTGTCTCCAAAAAAAAAAAAAAAAAAAAAAAAAAAGATGAGATACAGCTGCATGCTATAATATGGACAAACTCAAAATCATGCCAAGTAAAAGAATCCAGACACAAAAGACTATGTATTATATGACTTGACTTACATGAAATGTCCAGAAAAGGCAAATCTATATAAAGAAAGGTTTTCTATGGCTAGGGATAACATAGGGTTTAAATGCAAATGGGCACGTGAGGGTACTTTTGGGGGTGATGGAAATGTTATAAAACTAGACTGTAGCAATGGTTGCACAAGTCTGTAAATTTAATAAAAATAAACTCTACACTTAAAATGGGTGGATTTTATATGGTATATAAATTAAATCTCAATAAATATGTATTAAAAATATATATAGGGAGGCAGCCAAGCAAATGTGTGATTGCCATTGAGCTGTATCAAAAGCAGGTACAAACTGTGTTGATTGCATTAAAGCAAGTGCAGCTTTTTTTTTTTGGAAAGCCTGTCAGAAGATGTCTTCGTTGTGCTAGGTGTTAAAGGATGAGCCGGAGTTCAGCACACAAAGCCTTCCTCATTTAATATTAATGAATGCCCCATAATGTTTAATTAGTTATACCTTCTACCCGTGCCCAGAGAGGGCAACCATGTACAAAGCGATCACCAACATGACAAGTAGAAAAACTCACAGCACATACACGACTACTCATTTTAAATGCAACAGCAGGCTGGGCGCAGTGGCTCAAGCCTGTAATCCCAGCACTTTGGGAGGCCGAGGCGGGTGGATCACGAGGTCCAAGAGATCGAAACCATCCTGGTCAAAATGGTGAAACCCCGTCTCTACTAAAGATACAAAAAATTAGCTGGGCATGGTGGCGCATGCCTGTAATCCCAGCTACTCAGGAGGCTGAGGCAGGAGAATTGCCTGAACCCGGGAGGCGGAGGTTGCGGTGAGCCGAGATCGCGCAATTGCACTCCAGCCTGGGTAACAAAAGCGAAACTCCGTCTCAAAAAAAAAAAAGCAACAGCAACGTCTTGTATAAATACTAAGTGTCAATAACTGTTAAGACCTTCGCGGTCTTTCAACTTTGGAATAAACAAATCTGGGTTCAATCCTTGCTTCTGGTATTTACTAAGTCTGTGATCTTGGGAAAATTCTATAATCACTTTATGTCTATTTCTACATCTGAAAACTGTATTTAAGCTGCTTAGCTCAACTCCTACCATATAGCAAGCATTCAATACATGTTAGCTGTTTTTTAAATCCTCATGAAAATCTAAGAGAAAGGGGGAGTTTTTAATGCTGCCTCCAAAAATGTACAGAAGTGAGGCAAATGAGGAAGAGCAGTATGAACACAATAACTGCACACAAATTTCCAACCATGCATTTCTTAATTAACCAAAGCCATGATAAGGCTGAGGAAGGCTGTTCTGTTATTTGCCAATTCTACAGAAACTTCCAGAAAAACCCGAAGAGGGGGGGAATACTTCTCAACTAATTCTATGAGGTCTGCATTATTCAAATAACAAAATTAGACAAAATAGAAGAAAACGACACACTAATATCCCTCATGAAGATAAATGCAAAAATTCTAACCAAAATTGTAGCAAATACAATATAAAAACATATAAAAGGAAGACACATCATGGCCAAGGGATTATTCCAGGAATATAGGTTTGACTGTTTGAGCATTTACAAATCAACCAATGCAATTCACAACAGTGAAAAAGAGAAAAAACGATGTGATTAAGATGCCAGACAAAGCATTTGACAAAATCTAACATCCACTCCCAA